GTCCAGCCACGTTTCATCTTCATCATCCTGGTAGATGGAAGCAGATTTTTATCAAGAATGTCTCTGTACATTTTTCCACTCATCCTTCCTTCAATTATTTGAAGTTTGCCAGTACCATATGCTGAAAAACAGCCCCACACCATGATGTTCCCACCTCCAAACTTCACTGTTGGTATGGTGTTTTTGGGCTGATGTGCAGTGCCATTTGACCTCCAAACATKATGTGTATTCTGGCATCCAAACAGTTCAATGTTGGTCTCATCTGACCAGACTATATTCTCCCAGTATTACACAGGCTTGTTTAAATGTTGTGCAGCAAACTTTAAAGGAGCTTCAACATGCTGTTTCTTCAGCAGTGGAGTCTTGCGTGGTGAGCGTGCATACAGGCCATGGTGGTTCAGTGCATTACTTATTGTTTTCTTTGAAACAATCGTACCTGCTAATTCCAGGTCTTTCTGAAGCTCTCCACAAGTGGTCCTTGGCTCTTGGACAACTCTTCTGATAATTCTTTTCACTCCTCTGTCAGAAATCTTGTGAGGAGCACCTGGTCGTGGTGGGTTTATGGTGAAATAATGTTCTTTCCACTTCTGAATTATGGCCCCAACAGTGCTCACTGGAACCTTCAGAAGTTTAGACATTCTTCTGTAACCGATGCCATCATTATGCTTTGCAACAATAAGGTTGTGAAGGTCTTGAGAGAGCTCTTTGCTTTTACCCATCATCAGATAGTTCTTGTGTGATACCTGGTCATCATTTGGGACTGAACCAGCTGATATTAACTTGCACTGACAAGGGGCAGGCTTGCTTTCTAATTACTGAGAGAGTTCAGCTGGTGTCTTGTCTTTCCATGCCTTTTTACACCTCCCTTTCTTCATGTGTTCAATACTTTTTCCCTGTGCCATTCCATATTATTACAAATAACTTCATTTCTGGACATTTATGGTTTGATTTCTTTGTATGTATGGATCACTTGGGTTGTTACCAACATCTGGTGAAAATTTCATGTCATTAGCACCTCTAGTAATATATTTACTGAGAAAAATGTTGACGTGTTCAATACTTATTTTACCCGCTGTATCTCATGAACCACTGGATGGACTCAGATGAAACTGGCAGAAACACCTAAAACCTGATTCAAGATGGCTGCCACAGCTAAGAGTAGCTGAGAGTCATCCTCACCACTCTAAATACTCTAATAGAGTGAATAATGAAGTGTTCTGTTGAGATCTATTTTTCATACGAACATTTCTCAGCTCTTAACGTCTGCAGTTTTTGTTCCATTTCAACAGTTTATATATCAAAACATTCAGCTGCTTCAGGACACTCCTGCTGCGACTTTTTGTTTTTGTGAAATCATTTCTTTTTGACATGTTTAGCTTTTTCAGCCACTTATTTCTCATTGAAAAAAATAAAATTAATAATAATAATAATAATAATAATAATAATAATAATAATAATAATAATAACAGTAAACAACGATTATAGAGTTTCCTTTAAATTCTTTGTTCTGTTTACATTTTACTGCTCATTTCAGCTGCTGTTCTGGTTTTCACAGCTTCTCTATTAATTTCAGTTTCCTTCAGGTAGTTACTGCAAATACTGTATGAGTTTTGTTTTTAGCTAACTTCCCTTTTTTGGTGTTAATTTAATCTATTTTCTGTTTAATTCTGCTCTTTTTTCTGCTAATGTTTGGTGTTTTTCTGCTTTAGCTGATTTCAGCTATTTTGTGCAAGGACCCTGCATTGTTGCAGGAAATGTAATTTCTTTATTTGCATCTAGTTTTCAGACTTTGGGAACAACTCCAGCTAATCAACCTTAGAGAAGAGAAAAGTCACTACACATCAGTCAGATTTGAAGACTCTGAGCTAAAGTTTGGTTTGGTAGTAGCTGAAAATCATCTTCATCAGATGGTTGGAGAGCGTCCTGATCGTAGCAGATCTTTCTGTTAAACTCTGGGCTGAAAGGTGACAGGTGATAAGATTCACAGCACAAGCATCAGTTTGAGTTTTAAACTGAGTTTATTCCTGCAGAACCATCAGAGACAGTCAGAGGAAAAGACTTCCTGAGCTTCAGTCAATAAATGGATTGAATTACCTCTTTCAGGGTTCTGATTGGCTGTTTAATCCAAACGAAAGCTGCGTCCTGATTGGTCAAACACATCAGAGCTTCTAAACAAAGGTGATGAAAAGGTCAAAGCCAGCAGGAAGCTGAACCTCTGCAGCGTCTGAGGCTTTGCACCTGCAACCGCTTTGATGCTCATTCAGACAGTTCTCCATCCTTTCTTTGCTTTTACAGTGAGCGACTGCTAAATCAAGGAGCTGGGGGGAGGGGGGGGGACACGACGTCCTGATTTAGCTCAGGAACTGTTACAGAACCAGAACATTTGTTTCAAGTCTCGACCCAGTCTTTTGGCTTCGTGTATCGAATGATCTTTCCTTTCATCACCCCGGTGTCTTTGTTCCAACATCCTGACAAGCAGTCGTCACGTTGAGAAGTTTCCTCAAAGAAATTATTTAATTTGTGATARTTACAGAGACTAATGAGAACACTAATTAATTCTCATTAAATTCTAGCCTGGAGAGTCTTATCAGTGGAAGCTGATCAGAACGGGACGAGCTGAAGACAAACAGTACGTTAACGATAAAAAATAAACTCTAAACAAGCAGAGATTTTAATAGATTACTAATAGATTTACTGAGTATAGAACAAATATAAAAGGCTTGATATAAAAAAGGATAGTTGTCATGTTCAGGCTGGCATAAAAATCAGACATGTCTCTTTTGTTCTTTGGTTTGAGTGTAGCCTAATGTTCAAACAGTTAACGTTTGTGCTGCAAAAACAACAACAACAAATCAGTCATTTTGTAGTGTTGTTGTTCTTTTTCATTATTTTATTCACGAGCTTTAACGTACTCCTGTTTTATTTTATAAACAAGGCCTCTGTTTAATCTAAACAACTTCTGTTTCTAGATCTGATTGGCTGCTGAGAACAAGCTCCGCCTACTAGACGAGTGAAAGACAGAGGACGAACAAGCTCCGCCTACTAGACGAGTGAAGGACAGAGGACAAACAAGCTCCGCCTACTAGACGAGTGAAGGACAGAGGACAAACAAGCTCCGCCTATTAGACGAGTGAAGGACAGAGGATGAACAAGCTCCGCCTACTAGACGAGTAAAGGACAGAGGAGGGACAAGCTCCGCCTACTAGACGAGTGAAGGACAGAGGACGGACAAGCTC